GATGTGCTGCCCCGCTGCCCGGAGAGAGAGACGGAGGCTTTTGCTGCAATATCGCCCTTCAGCTGAAAGCAGCTATAAACTAATGCGAAGTGGCAAAACTTTAAAGCACAAGGAAGAAAATAAAAAGCGCAAACAGCTTCAGTCTGTGTGCTTAAATCCTCTGCTTATCTCTGAAACAGTAAGTATTCAGAGTTTTATAGCGTGCTTGTCTAAAACATCTAATGGTAGTAATTTTTCTCAAAATATATCTGATGATGTATTTTGCTATTTCTGCTTCGTTCTTCGGCAGGCTAATTATGTTTTTATCGTGGAATGGGTAAGCTAACATAACTCTGTTGTCTTTGCAGTGACTTGAAGGGGCTTGGACATGTTTAAACTGGAAGATGTGGAGCGGACTGTTACCTCCAGGGCTGAATGAAAGTGATGTTGAATTAAGTTCTGATGATGGAGATGAATTGCATAGTTCCTTTTCAAAGGAAGATGCAAAAGAAGACACTGAAAGAGTTCAGCTTCCTGAATCCCAGAATGGACCTGAAAGTGCTGCCACCAGTGAGCCCGTTGCGATATCGGTGACAGATGGAGAAAATGAATCTCAAACATGCCCTTCTGGAGTTCCTTTACATATGTGGAATGTGGGTATCATTACAGGTCTCCCAGTGTCCAGAGCATAAATGCAACATATTCAAAGTCAAATAGCTACTTTTTAAATTAAAGTAACTCGGTGTTGAATATCCAGCATGGAAATTTGAAATGAAATAAAATACAGTCAGAGTGCAGTCATTGTAATATACCTCAGATCATTTCAACTAGGGTAGACAGGCATTTAGATAGGAAATAAATGTCAGTTTGTTTGTTTAATGTAGTGGTGATTGAAGGCACAGCAGGGAGATGTCTGGATAACTATACAGTTGCCTAAAGACTTGGGTTTTTTCATAGCATATGGGCTCTGAGCTTCTTTGTAACTGCTTTCTGCATTGGTAAGGGTTTACAGCTGTGTATATCAACCCCTGTAGTGGGATGTAGCGCATCTGCCAAGTAGAGGTGTACTCTTCCCCTTTCAGCAGGGGTTAGCTGCAGGCACTCAGACTCATAGTTGCTTATAACCTCTTGATTTTCCTGTTGCATGTGAAGACTGAAAAAAACCGCAACCTAAACAACAAAGCAATCTGTGTTTTAGGCTTTTGAGACAAAGTAAGATTTGGCAAAAATATCCATCAATCCGTGTAGGTAGCCTGCTGTGCAAGTACAGTGCTGTCAGTAATACTTGGATTACGAACTGCCAGCTAGGCAGGAACGGGGCATTGAGTAGCTCAGGAGTGCACAGCCTGCATAGCTGTGTTCAGTGTCGTGTCCCATGAGAAAACTGTTTGGCTTGGATGGTCCTGGGATTTAGGAAGGGCAGAAAATCAGAGGTGATTAAAGATCAGAGCCAGTTCCAGTTTAACAGTATCAGAGTTGGATGTTCTCGATGCCTGATTTTTAATGTAATGGATACAGCAAGGTGCCATAGATAAATAAGGTATTGGGACAGCATTTCTCAGTACATCATGTAATTAAAAAAAAAACAGGGAAAAACTTTTTAAATTACTAATTTACCATTTCTTGGTCTTATAGAAATTTTTGGAGCTTCAGAAAAAAAATCGTGAAATGAAAACCCAAGAAAAGCAGGAAAACAAAAGGCGAAAAAGAAAGCGGCGCAGAAAAGGTAACTTATACAATTGGAGAATTTGTTTCTCAAAATGGAATTAGTATCAAATACATTGGAAGTGTTTTATTGTCCGAGGGGTTTTTATGGTTTTTTGGTGTTTGTTTTTTTAATGAAGAATTGGATGGCTGAGTAGATGCGTTCTAGCTATTCTCTAGGGCTTTATTTTTCAGGGTTTGTACATAATTTGTCGGATTAAGTTGTAAATTAGTACTTAAGTTCAAGCAAAACATTTGTCATTTTTTTTAAGGGAGGTAGAACTTAGTTAATACTGATTTATAAGGACTAAGTATGTTGCAGTAATTCTATAAAACATCCTTCTGTGTATTCTGGTTAAAACGTCTTCACAGGTCGTGTAAGAGGTTCCTTGTATGAAAAGTCTTAGAGCTGAGTGGTTTAAATCCACATGATCATGGGGCAAAAATCCTAGGGTGTCAATCTTCCAGAGGAAATGTGACCAATTACAGTTCTGTTAACTTCATTGGATGCTGTGGGGTATTACTGTGTAATGAGGGATTTTTTTTCTTCTCCCCTAGAAAAAGAGAAGAAGAACGATGAAGTGACTAAGAGGTATAACCAGGTCAATGTGATTGTCTGAGGTCTGTTTTTAATATCAAGCAAGACTTGTAAAAAAACTTGACTGCATACATGACCAAAGCCTTTGAACATCGTGTAAAATACCTGCAAAAGTTGTTTGCTGTCTCTTTTGGGCAGGCTCAATTTGATACCAGTGATTGCTTGATGGAGTTTATTACTTGATTTTAAAAATCAGCACAGAGGTATTAGTTACTGAAACTTGAACTTAATATTATTCCTAATGATGATTTGCATGTAATTGCATACGAGCCTCTGTTCAGCTTGCTGCTTCTCCTCTCTCTCTTCTTCCTCCATGTCATTGTTACTTTATGGTTGGGCTTGATGACCTGAAATGTCTTTTCCAACCTAAGTGATTCTACAATTCTGTAAGCTTACTTTCAAGATTGTGGAGTTACTTAGAGGGGAAGGAATAATTAATTTCACTTCCATTAAGAACTCTGAATGGGAGAAAAGAGCATGTCTGCCAAATGGAAGAATTTCTTTTAGCATTGAAAAGAATATTACAGGTTGTGGAAAGGGAACTGGTTATATTAATGACTTTTTTTGTTTGTGTTTAGTAGCCAACAGTTGGTAAATGAAGACAAATGGAAAGAACTTACCCAGTACTTTGGAATCAATGATAGATTTGAACCACCTGTGAATAGCAGAGCTCCACAAAAGGTGACTGTTGATACAAAACCAGTGTCAACTTGTACTTGGCAGTAAAAGAACTCAGTCATAGCACATATAGGAATAAAACTTGAGACTACTTGGAAGTGAGTAAATGATTAGGTCGCTTTGAGGAATGATAATTTTGTGCACTTTTTTGTCCACATTGAATTTCCTTTTAGGTATCACATGAATAGTACTTGGATTCAAGGGTTGCTGTGCTTTCTCTTAACAGTTTCCATGCTTGTTTCCTGTCTGATTTTGTTTTCTATTACCATGAAAGACAGAACACTTCATATGCAGTTTGCCTTTTATTTTCTTGTAGGTTTTTTTGGTTTTTTAATCATGTCTTAACTTTGAAGTGTGTCATGTAAATCTTTTAATTGACACCAGTGGCTATAGGAATTAGAGGGCCAAACCTATCATACAGTTTTAGTGGGTTTAGAACCCATTCTGTTCATAAATGGTACTGTATAACTAGTCACATTTGAAATAACTGGCACGGCAGAATAGACAAGTTAAACTCATTACATTGAGAGTTCCTCATAACACTGTTTTTTTCTGTAGTTTTTCTAGTAAAGGGCTCTGTAAGTTCTCTGACATCAAATGTTCAGTTAGCTTACTCTAAAAGTTTTGTATTTTTCATTTGCCTAAAGTAAGTTTCTGCCTGGAAGTCATAAAACAGTGTTTGTGTCTGTCTGAGTTCTTACTGTTGGTAGGTATTCAGTTGTCGTTAAACTGCTCAGGATAGATTTGGAATAAGGCCCAAAGTGTTAAGCAGATGCTCCCCATGTAAGTTCAGAGATTTTATCACTAGAGGAACATATGTCTTACTAATTTCAGAAGAGAAATCTAACAGAATTTGCTAACTTCCAATTATGGAGTCCTTCCCCCCCACTCCTGCCTGAGTAATTCAAGTGCAGTATTTGCACATCACTGTTTCTCAAGAATTCTGTTTGCTTTTTTGCTTTTATCTTATTAAAAAAAAGTCTATTATGAAACTGTCAGATGTTTTCTTTAGTATCACTAATATTTAAAAGCGGTGAGGCTGTAAATTTTTTTGTTGTAAAAGTGAGTTTATTGTGAAATTCTGAAGTCAGTGCCTACTGCTGTGCTAACTTTCTGTATTCCTTCAGAAGTTTCCAACTATAATTTCCAGTAAATATTTACTTTTTATAGTTACATTATTTGTAGATGTTATTGTACAAGTTACGTTACATTAATGAAAATAAGGGAATAACCTTTATCAGAGGTTAAATTCTGAAGCTCTCCTTTGTTGTTTTTTTTCATAGAGCTGCTAGAATTTTTAATTTATTAGCACAGTGGAGTGGCACGGTGCCAGAACTCAGTTTTTGGATAAAGATAAGATCTTAGAACTGTAACGATACAGTGGTAATTGCCATTCTTCATGTTACCTGACACATATATTTCACATTTTGTTTAGAAAGCTCCAGGGATGGAAGAGATAAGCCAAATCTTCAGATGAAATTTTATTGTGACAGGCATAAACTAGTCCGTGTAATTTTTTTAACCTACAGTATTATCCTGCACGTAAGGTGGAACTAATGCAATGATTTGTGCTCAGGCAGCCTTTCTGTGAATTCTTAATTATACTGTCCATTACAATACATAGACAAAGTGATTTGTGTTACATAGAAATTACAGGTTTATGCAGTGTCTTAAAATAAAGAATTTGTGAAAGAAATATTTTTAGAATAGCGATGCTCCCTTTAAACATGTTCTTTCTTTTTTTTTCTAACGATGCTTGCTTTTCTCTTCCTAGTCTGGCCTTGAACTCAGCATAGAGAAGTCTGTGGCTGAAGGTGACATTGATAAGGCTGAGGAGCTGAGTGACAGATTAGCCACTCGTGAGGTAAGTGGGCTGTTAACAAAAGCTCTGAGGAAACATTCGGGTTTGTACATCTGTACAAAAAGTGTCATAACTAAAATAGTATTGAAGATTGTTGGGGCATCTTTCCTGTTTCCTAAGCAGATTTCTGTCAGTGATTGAAGGATTTTGCTGCTGATCCAGTAATGCTTGGACAGCCATGTATAAGAATTGAAAATACAACCATGAATGATCCCAAGTAACCTTGCTTTAGAGCCTCCATGCTGGCCCCACAAGTCAGGAGCCAGTAACTAGTCATCTAGATTGAGCTTTTGATTTTTGTGCGTGATGCACACCAAGAAAACAGGAGTAGGATGTTCCCTTCCTGTCAGTTCCTTGTACCTCAGATATTTTTTTTTAATAAGCTTGGGAAGCCTGAGGAAAGGTAGAGATCTAGCAAGCTTAGAGCAAGACATGCCCAAATAAGGAGAGAGACTCAAACTTGTGCACCAGTGCTTTTTTTTCCTGTGTATTCATGTGATCAGGAGTTGATGGCTGGAAGAAAACCTGAAGAAGAATGGGAGTAGATGGATCTCAAAAATATTGCTGTAGCCTTAGAGTGATGCTTATAGAGTGAATTAATATTTTTTCCTCTCCGTGTCATTATTTTTAGTATATAAATGCATATCTAAAAAAAAATAAAAATCCAAGTGAGACATTTCAGAAAGTTGTCTTGTTAGTTGGGATATCTGAGTAATTTTATGAAGGCTATGCTGCTCTTTGCTATAAAAATGAGACCCTTTAAATTTGTATGTAGTGCTAAGTGTATGCTTAAACTGGTGAGGAGTCTACCATATACCTCTGGTATATGATACTGCAGTTAAGAAATAGTTAAAGTGGTGGTGCATGTATAGTAGGAGGTAGCAGCTGAACTACACAATTGAAATCCATGAAAGCTGTTGTGCCCACTACTATTTGTGTATGGAGGAGAAAATGCAAAGGAAGAAAATGAGGGTAAAAAGATAGCCAGAATAGTTTTGAAGCCATGTAAGAAAAAAGTAACTAAGCACTATTTGAGTTGAGTGGAGAAGCTATAATTTTTTAGTCATCTGATTTATGTAATTTAAACAATAAATATTCTAGATTTGTTAGAAATTAATCATATAAGGTTTGCATAGTCTTCACAGAGGTAATGGGGATTTTCTGTCCACTGTATATACTAGCAAAGTGCAAAGGTATTAGGAAAAGAGGGAAAGACAAATTCCAAGTTCTTCTCATTCTTATACAAACATTTAAAATGTTTTGTAAATACAGTGTTTCAAGCTAAGCTGTAATGTAAAATTGCAGATTTGAATTTGTTTAATGTAATATAATAAAATATTGTGATGACTTTAAAAACAGATATGGCTTTTGAACTGGGAAATACAGCTCTTTAGGCTAAGTGAGGTTAGGTAAAACTGTCCCTCAGTGCATGATCTTACACAGTCACTGAATCCCAACATTCGGTCACTCAGGGCAGTTTCTAATGATGACTCTTACCTGCCTTGTCACCAGTGATCACAAAACCTCAGTCTGCAAAGATCACAGCTATGGACAGTGATAGGAGTGTGACCCGATGTTCCCTTTAACTCTAACCAGCTTCTCCCCGCAGTACTGTTCTGTTATCTTTCATGTGTACAACAGGAAAAACACTTGCTGTTCTCCTTCACAAATGTCATTATCCCATCCACTCTGAAGTGGTTAGAGTATCATAATCAATAAAACATACTGAGGTTCTAGTGCAAATTGTTTGACTAAAAACAAATTAGTGTCAGAAGTTTTCAGGCTTTGTAATATTTATGATAAACTGTTATCTGATTTTGGTAGCCATGGGGTTGTACAATACTGAGCGCATCCCAGGTGCTACAGCAATGTATTACTATTTGTGGAACATTAGCTCCAAATTGTTGACTTTCAAATATTAGCATGTTGTAATTCTGAAAACAAAATGCTTGAAACATTATTAGTATTCACAGCCTTGACTTGGTTTTGGTTAAGTGGGTTTATCTGAATAAATAGTATGTTGAAAGAAGGAAAACTCAAATGACTCTGGCTTGATCTCTCGAGGAGTTCTGTCGAGGCAGAATCCGTGTGAATTCACTGGGGTTCTTTACTGGTGTAAAGATGTGCTGTATAACCCACTGCAAGAATGATTTTTCTTTGGTTTTAAGAAGGTATATAGTTTTTAAAATGGATCACTTAAAATGAGGAAATAATTCTAACGGACTAATTCTCATTCAGTGAAGAGCTATAGAAAATAATTTTGTTTATGGAAGAGGCTGATCGAAAAATCATTGTTTTGTATACAAGTACAGTTAATAAAATACTGCTTTCATCCTGATTCAATCTCTACTTTCCTTCTTTTTGGAATTTAAATAAATGTCCCTTTTAAAACTCATGTTACATCATACCTCTTGGAAGTGAGCTCATTTTCAAAGTATGTGGCTATTTCTATCCCTGTAACTTCCAAACGCACCACCACGCTGTGAGCAGGTTGGGCATGGAGCTATACTGTGACTCTGTTGAAGTGACACCACTTCGGAAGTGAAGTAAGTGGGTGAATTACTGTTCTTTTATCTCTGCTTCATCTTCCCCTGTTCAGTTTTCATTTTTCTTGAGCAGTGTTGCAGGGCTGGGAGCAGGGAGAGTATGAGAAACAGCTGCCTCCTGTTTGGGGTACAGCCCCCCTCGCAGCCGTGTGAGAAATGTTCAGTGGGTAGGTGTTCTTTTTGAAATCAGGTGTATGGGGTTTTAATCGGCACCATTTTCTTTTGCGAGAAGCGGTGACTGGAACCTGCTGATAAAGCTTTTGCTTTGAGGCACAGATCCCAGAGTTCTTAAAGCCGTTTCCTGCCTTAATAAGTGAAACTAATTTTTGATGTATAACATTTATAAGCCTGTGAAACAGATAGGGCAGCCTCAGTATTTAGAAAAATGAAGCCAAAAATAAACAGATGATGAGAATAGGCAGTAAAAACCTGTCCTGAAAAGCAAAGGAATGCCAAAATGATGCTGTCAATATGTTATCATTATGACATAGTGAGAAAAGGTTTTTAGAAATCAGATTCTTTTAAAATGGGTGATGATTTAGGCAGTATACATAATCTAGCAGCTGTGAGTGGATCACTGAAATTTACATCCTAAAAGCCGAAATGATGCCGCTTCAAGGGTTTGGGTCTTCTGGTTTCCATATGGTACTTGTTGCAGGTTCTTTAGGGAGAATGTTATTGTACTGCTGTAGATGAAGCTTTGGGCATTATGTGATTTGTTGCTTGCTTCTGCTTTGAATACGCACAAATTTTGTTTCTTACTCTAGTAGCATTAAAGGTTCTGGACTGCGAGTTAGAAGTTAGGACTTGGATACCCTCTGCATGAGGCTCTGTATTCACCAGTGACTGCATGTGTAGATTCATATGTAGCTTTTGACGCTATCTAAATATGTGTTACCCCTCTTTTTATTGGCAGTTACATTTCTATTAAAAAATTAATTGTACTTACATGATGGTGATACTCGGTTACTTACCCCTTTCCTGTTGTTGTCCTTGTTTGTGGACTAGAAAAGTGATTGCAGTTGGTTTGGGAGCCTATCACGGTAGCATATCTCATCCTTGGCCATCCCTACAGCATGTCCTCATGTGTGGGGTGCTCTGCTTCACAGAGTTCAAGTGATCCTGAAAGCCTCGATTGCGTTATTTTATATAGGAGTGAAATTCTTCCTTAAAGAATATGGGTATGTGTGCCTTCTGTTGTACAGACTCGTTCAGGCCATCAGTAACTCTGCTTCTGGAACCTGGTGTAGCTTGAGCACCTCAGTGCTGTGGTGCAGTTACAGTACGTGAGATCAGCAGTCCTCTGATAAATTTGTGTTGAGCATCAGCATAGTGCAGGTGGGTCATACTGCTTAACCTTAATTCACTGAGGATTTTTAAACATGCTGTTAGACTGGATTATTTCTTCAATACCTACAACATAGTATTAAATACCTAGCGAGCGGTTAGTTCCTGGTATAGTAGGCTCAGGTAAGGTTTATTACTGTCATTCAGTTGCTGTCTTTGTTAGAACATTCCAGGTGCTGTCAGCATTGGGAGAGCCCTTCACGTTATAGTTCTGCTTTTCAAATGCAGGACAGCACACCTAAAGCTGTTGTTTGAACACTGCGTTTAGCAATGTCTTGTTTCACTTGAGAGTTGCTAACAGAAGTGTTAAGATTAAATGTGTGAGTTACCCCCAAAATTCTGAACCTTCTAGTCTGAAACATGTTGAGAGAATGAAGTTTGTGGGTGCCTGGCTGGGCTGAGACAAAATGGTTTTCTTGGTGCTGCTGTAGGGTAGGGTAGTTGAGATTCAGTGGTAGCAGGTACTTGGAAATGTAGCTGGGAACAGGCGCTTGGGATTATGCTAGCTTTTCTAATGCTTGTGAAACACCTTTTTGGAATAATATCTTGAAATGCACTTTAATTGTTCCTGCTGTGTGTGTGTGAATCTGGCTAGTTTGGGGGGTTTTGGGGTTTTATTTTAAGAATAAATGTTGATAAATTAGAGCTCTGTGGCTGTGTGTAGTTGGAGGTTTTTATCCTTTTGGCTGAGGATGGTGTGTGAGGTATCTGGCAATTTCACTTTGCTGTAAATCAGTTTAAATGTGGAGTGATACTTGTTACAGTACTTTTCCTATTTAAACCAAATAATTTTAAAAGACCAACACCCTTAATATATAAACCTGAAAGTATTTTCCAAGCTTCCCCCCCATCTCCCACCCAGAGAAAGAAATTTTCGTGGTGCTTTTGTGCTCAAATCACTGTGCAGTGTCTCAAGAAGCAGAATGCAGATTTCTCATGGCTCTGATATTCTGAGAACTAATCTGCCTAAACCTCAAACTTTGCATTATGCTGGTGGTTTTTGTGCTGACTGCCTGGTAGGTAGGTGCCACGTTGTCTAAGAGTGAATTAGCCCGAGGACTGTAACTTGAGCACGATAAAATAATCTTGACCATATTAGACTTACCTGTC